TGAAGGTATTTACCAAACAGCACTGGTTACTGGAGCCAATGACGTATGAAGGTATTTACCAAACAGCATAGGTTACTGGAGCCAATGACATATGAAGGTATTTACCAAACAGCACAGGTTACTGGAGCCAATGACATATGAAGGTATTTACCAAACAGCACAGGTTACTGGAGCCAATGACGTATGAAGGTATTTACCAAACAGTACAGGTTACTGGAGCCAATGACATATGAAGGTATTTACCAAACAGCACAGGTTACTGGAACCAATGACATATGAAGGTATTTACCAAACAGCATAGGTTACTGGAGCCAATGACGTATGAAGGTATTTACCAAACAGCACTGGTTACTGGAGCCAATGACGTATGAAGGTATTTACCAAACAGCACAGGTTACTGGAGCCAATGACATATGAAGGTATTTACCAAACAGCACAGGTTACTGGAGCCAATGACATATGAAGGTATTTACCAAACAGCACAGGTTACTGGAGCCAATGACATATGAAGGTATTTACCAAACAGCACAGGTCACTGAAGGGGAGCACAAGGATGTATTTATGTGTGGCATCAGCATGCAAGAAGACAGTTATAAATCATTTTATGATATTATGATACACAGTTTATTTTGAACACAATGGTGTGAGTGATAGTTGTTTAGTGCCCCCCCTAATTTCACCTTTATGATGGTCGTCTGTCAATAATCAAGTTCGGATCTATGATGGAATGTATCAACAGAAGACACAGAAACAACATACTCTATGGTTTCCCCATTAATTATTTAATTAATTTAGAAACAAGAAGGAAATAACATCCCAAAAGGACTGAAACTGGTTTGGGCACATGACGGAAATGGGTTAACAGGGTCCTCAGTGTGTATGTGCTGATGCTGACCATTATTAAGGCTATTCTCTCCAGCCGGTCTGGTAGTTGTCCAAGCTGGTGTCCACAAGCCCTCTGCCTATCTAATATAATCCCACAAATCAATGTAATTCTAAGGGACAGCAGAGGCTTTGATGACCATATCAACAATCCTGCTCATGCTAAGCTGTTTGCCTGCAGCCACAAAATGTAGGTGACCCTCCCGAATGGATCTTTCTGTAGTCATGACCGAAAATAAGAATCCTGTGTGCTTTCATTGAATTTGCTTGCAGTAGAGTCACAGGTCTGGCTGTGTTGGGCAACACAGTTAAAAGTTCTTGTTGATTGTTGCAAACAAGTTTCATGAATTACCAAACAGGGTCTACTGGTTTGAAGCGCCAGTTTCTTTAACAATTCATTCATTTGGATGTGTTAACAAATCAGCAGCTGGGTTATGCAGTCAAGCCACCTGATGTCCATTAGTAGGCATGTTGGAGTACAGGGGCCCATTTGGCCCACAATCCTTTCAGGTACTCACAGGGGGCATATTGTGCCCCAGAATACCCACTGGACAGGAAGTGAAGCAAGAGAAGCATGGGTACTATTGTGCCCCAGAATACCTACAGGAAGAGAAGCATGTGCCCCAGAATACCTACTGGAAGACTGGGGACCTATTGTGCCCAGAGAATACCATGGGTACTGGGACCTGGCCCCAGAATACCTACAGCTGGGTACTGGGGGGGACCTATTGTGCCCCAGAATACCCACAGGAGGAGAAGTGCCCTGGGGAGAATACCTACTGGAAGTGAAGCATGGGTACTGGGGACCTATTGTGCCCCAGAATACCTACAGGAAGAGAAGCATGGGTACTGGGGACCTATTGTGCCCCAGAATACCTACAGGAAGTGAAGCATGTGGTACCTACAGGAAGAGAAGCATGGGTACTGGGGACCTCTTCTGCCCCAGAATACCAACTGGCATACATGTATGTCACACTCATTCACTCACTCACACAGAAAGGGGAGGTTGGAGTTTGCTGGTAGTTAAAGTATTTGCTGAATGGCTGGTTGGATTAAACATGGACACTTTCATCGTCACTCACTCACTCACCCACTAACTTGGTCACTCACTACTTCAGTCTCTCCCTCCTTCACTCAGTATGAGCCATTTCACTAATAATCCGTCTCACAAGAGGTTCAGATTGTATGTTCACACAGGCTTGTACTACACATGAGTCATCTGGTTGGAGCAGGACTGATGTGCAGAAGATGGTTTGATCTCTACGATTGATTCCATATCTGGCTTTGACTTAGAAGCAAATGACTTGAAGGCCAATAAAGCCATCTTGGGATGTTTGATGTCAGTTACATAGCCAAGGGTTATACAATGTCTGTCATCTACAGTGACCTACTTGTTTTGAGAAAATCAGAAAATTGCATTTGCTATGAAGATTTGTGATAGTCTAGAATTATTATTTGTTTTGTTTTCCAAATTTTAGAGTCTTCTTTATCAGAAGCTTCTTTGAAACAGAATTATGGAATGAACCTGCCATTGCTTACCAAACACATGTCTAAACATGTTCAAAGGATAATACTTTGCACCCAAACATATTTAATCTGGTTAATCTGGGTAGTAGCTAATCCACATGATTGGAGGTTGGTTGTTGTTTAAGGCAGCACTCAGCAATAATGATCAACATCATAAGCATCGATCTACACAATTGGGATATGATGACATGTGTCAACCAAGTCAGCGAGCCTGACCACTCGATCCCGTTAGTCACCTCTTACGACAAGCATGGGTTACTGAAGATCAATTCTAACCCGGATCCTCAAGGGTGCTACTTCAAATGAACACCTGGAACCCTGTCCTGATTATGAAGGTTCCGTTGTGTGATTGTTTCATATATATTATTAAAAACACTATCAAGGGTCACAGGTGGCCAAATCGTCTGAGATGCCACATTTTGGTGTGTAGAGTTGCTTCCCTTTGGCATGCCAGAAACTATGGGATAAAATTTCATTTCGCCCTGATAATGTTTTTCCGTTTGCCAGAATCATACCCATGATTATGGCTTTCATCAAAGTTGTAAACATTAGAGATCTGCATCACAGCTGACATGCTTGATATAACTGGACATAAACCTACCTCACTCACTCACTCACTATATATACTACAGAAACCATCCTCATGATCAAAAGCATTGTTTATCACTCTCTTTTAATTATAACCACTCTCCGCCTGTTATGCCAAATAGAGTCAGATTTAGCAGAAAAATCAACTCTGATTATTCTCTGCCTGTAACATTTAGAAAATGGCAAAAGTATTCATGTATTGACCTTTAAGTGAGTTGAACTAAAGACACATTTTCCAGAAGTTGAGGACAACCAGGACCCTTTGGACAGTCACTAGGTAGCATCTAGTGCTTAAACCTGAATCACTCAGCCCATAAATGATAGAATCACATTCAATTTACCTTGACTGTAAACAGTACTGAAAGCATGAGGGATTCAACATTGTTCACCCATTGTCAGTTTGTTATTGATTGTAGCTGGAGACGAGCGTGCATCTCTATCAATAGTCCATCTTTCTTATCACTACTTGTCGCTTTCAAATAAGCATGGATGTCTTGTGTAAGAATAATTTCCTGGAATATGTAGTGTTAGCAGACTTAATCTCAGTTTATAATAATAACATAAAATCATGCTTCAAATTGACTAAAGCTAAAAAACAAACTACAGCTGAAATAGAACAGGAAAATTAGTTTTAGAATAATTTCCCAAGGATTCAAAACACTGAGGATGAGAAAAATATGTCATGTATTGTCTTTTTTATCGTTTGATTCGTATTGGAAACAGAGACTGCTGGTAGTGGCAGTACCCTCCAGTCTGTCCATTCTTATTCACCCCAATAAACATTTCAAGAAGAGTTTAATGTTCAATGGCCAAGAAATAATGATAGCACTCAGTAAAATTTTCTTTGTGAGGATTTCAGTTTTTCAAATTGTACTTGAACTGAAATCATGCAATGAATATAATTTGAATTTAATTGCTCATGTGAACTTGTTAAAAAATAGGTAAGAAAACAGCAATGTGTACATTCTGAAATGAAAAATTCAAAACATCCGTTTACGCAATTGGGATGAGTCTCTTTGGGATGAGTGAGTGAATGAGTTTAGTTTTACCCTTTCTTTTAGCAATATTTCAGCAATATCACAGCGGGGAACACCAGATATGTGCTTCACACATTGTACCCATGTGGGGAATTGAACCCGGATTTTCTGCATGATAAGCAAACACTTTAACCACTAGGCTACCCGCCACCCATCATCCCAAAGAGGGGGGGTGGGGTAGCCTAGTGGTTAAAGCGTTGGCTCGTCACGCCGAAGACCCGGGTTCGAATCCCCACATGGGTACATTGTGTGAAGCTCATTTCTGGTGTCCCCCGCCGTGATATTGCTGGAATATTGCTAAAAGCGGCGTAAAACCAAACTCACTCACTCACTCATCCCAAAGAGACAAAACTGTATAAGTAGAACTTGATGTACAATGATATGCTGTTCAAAACAGAGATAAGCACTATTCACTCATGAAGTCTAACACTTTTCTGTTTGCTAACTGGGGTGGTTGGGTAGCCTAGTAGTTAAAGCGTTCGCTTGTCAAGCCAAAGACCCAGGTTCAGTTCCCACGGGGTTACAATGAAGCCCATTTCTGGTATTGCCCACCATGATATTGCTGAGATATTGCTAACATCAGAATAACACCATACTCACTCACCTCATGGTTGTTCACAGGTGGCACAGTAGTCTGTGGCCCAGATTTACCCAATTATATTTCATGGTTTGTCAGTACCACACCTTTTCTCAAAAGTTTCAGTGCGAAGACCTGCATCTCTACATTACACTGTAGCACAGCTGAAATGCTGTTCATTCTCTACAATGTAAATAATTCACTTCCCTTTCTTACATTTTGTACTTCTCCATTTCCTTTCAATTCTTAATAAGGCTAATTGCTGTTTTTTGTAAGGAAACCCCCAGAGAGGGCTCCATCTTGGGGCAAGCCTTTACTAATCACCTAAACCAGCCATTTTTAAGACCTGGGTAAATAAATACTCATTATGGTATTAATTCATTACTTACCTGATTGAGTAATTAATGCCACACCTTGAAACACATTTGTTATTGTTTCCAGTACATCACCTCACTTTAATCAACGAAGCTATCCCGACTGTTGAAACACACCATGCATGGCAGTCTTAACATTGAAGCCAAGTCATATGTCAGTCTTTGATCTCAGGATCAAGGCCTTGGGGCCTGTCTGTGTTCTGTTCACAAGAATTATATTTCTCACAGGGTCACAACAGTCACTCGCACTTTACACAAAGTTCCAGTGAACTGTCCCTCTCACAATGAGATGAGGTTCTGGAACTCACAACCTTAATTTAATCCACGAGTTCCTATTCAGATCTCTGAAGCGTCACATCTGCTTTGCCTTCGGTGATGTCTCTGTGGACAGATAAAACTAACTGTTATTCCTTCAGATGAAATTTCAACGTCCACAACCAAACACATTGCACCAAATCCATCTGAAGTTTCTTACTCGACTCCGTACTTCCGGACTGTCAACAGAACAATTTTTTCAAGGTCCTGGACACACGATCCTTTCACTGTCCCACATGAAATTTAATATCCATTAAGCTCTACATTGCAGTGATGAATTGCTGTTTGGATGACTGCACCAAGCTATTAGCAGCCAGTAGACCTCTATCATGTACATGCTCTATCGGCGTTGTATATAATCATTACAAGAGGATCGTCCAAGTGACAAGCTATTGTTTTAGATTCTCCCTACGACAACGAGCATTGTCGTAGCTGCATCGTCAGGATTGATTTTCTCGGTGTTGTTTCAAGGCTCCGACCACACACCTGTTCAGAGGAGACGCTGTCTCACACTGCGGCAAGCTTTCGACCCATATCTGGCTCGTGGTGTTGCAGCTTCATTCAGTGTTGGCCGTTCCGATATCATGTCGCACCAAGTATTGATGGACGGGGTAAGTGGACGGAAGACACTCGCTCGCGGGATGACAATGCAAGAGTTAATGCAATACCATACCCAAAATAAGAAATTGCACAGTTAATGGCCGTCAGATGGAAATGTCCTAACAATGCTGATAGATGGAGGAATCAGATGTTGTCATCTTAATGCCAACATGTAGTAGTAGGATAATGTTATGTTCTAATGAACTTGTTTCTCAAAGACATTGCTCTACTTGAAATAAATTATGCATTTTTTGTAAGAACTTCCAATAACTTTCCACGATTGGAGATAGACTTGAAGTACTTAACAATGTAACTGAATGGTATATTTGATTGTTGAAGAGGAACAAGCTAAATGGACTGACAAGTTCTTTATTGCAATGGAGGGGCGGTGGGCTGGTCTAGTGGTTAAAGCGTTGGCTCGTCACGCCGAAGACCCGGGTTCGAATCCCCACATGGGTACAATGAGTGAAGCCCATTTCTGGTGTCCCCATCCGTGATATTGCTGGAATATTGCTAAAAGCGGCGTAAAACCAAACTCAGTCAGTCAGTTTATTGCAATGGATGTGACTTTTTTGTGTAGATGCTAGTTAACATCATTATCGAGTGATAGACAACATTGTGTACAAGGAGATTAAATACATGAAGGATATTTGAGTTTGTACAACTGACGAGGTTGTTGTACAGAATGATGACATTACTTTTAGGGAAGTTCTTATAAATAATGGCTATGAGACCAGATGGCCAATTTTCTTCGGGTCGGCTGGCTTCTAGGGCTGGGACGATTCACCGATGCATCAATGCATCGTGATACATTGTTTGATACAGCTATCATATTGTGGACTGGTGTATTGATGCAGAATGATAAACACAACTTTTTTTCAAAACAGTATTATCTTAAACATGTTTTAGTACCTATTTAGAGAAAAATACTCAAGTATGATGGAGTTACTTGTTTGTTTATTACAACAGTGTTATTGTTAAACAAAAATACCTTAAAATAAATTATTTTAAATCTTGATGCTGTGTTATTCTTTCAAGGTGTATGTATTGTGATACGTATGGTATCGCAGGTAAAATATCACGATATGTATCATATGGTGACATAGTGTATCGTCCCAGCCCTACTGGCCCTAACCATTATCATATGGTGACATAGTGTATCGTCCCAGCCCTACTGGCCCTAACCATTATCATATGGTGACATAGTGTATCGTCCCAGCCCTACTAGCCCTAACCATTATCTATAAACACAACAAGAGGTTAAAGAATGCCCAATTCTTTCATATAACTATAGTTAATCTGTCAAGGCTGGTGGGTATTGGAGTTGCCCTATTGTTTGTGTTCTTTACTTTGTTTTGAGTGGTATATTTTTTACATGTACAAGATTCCAGATTGGAATAGGTCCCCAGCAGTGTATTGCTTGTCATTAGATTGGGTTGTATTTTACACTGACAACATGGGCCAATCCTCATAATATCGACCACTGGTTTTTCTACAGATATTCAAATATACTCCTGCCAATAACTGTTGTCACCCCAGCCTATTAATAAAATTGAAGGGGGTGACAACCATTATTGGCATGATTATATATACATTTATTGATTGAATATTGCTGCCTGTGGAACAAAACACACACCATACGAAGATGAACAGGAACAATATTAGCATAAAAACGTCTCATGTATTTAATATGTTGTTCGTTTCATGATACTGCCACTGACATATCCTTCATAATCTCAGGAATATGCAACATGTTTAACAAATCACATTTTCACAGTTGGTCATACAGACCAAGCAAGTGAGAGACATGGGTCAGATGTAGTAGAGGACTAAAAAATGTTACATTTATATTGACCCAATACATGGAATTGAATAAAGTGACAAAACCCTTTAGATGCACATAAGAAAAGGGGCACTGGGGGTAAGCCTAATGGTTAAAGCGTTAAACTGACGGCTTTAACCATTAGGCTCATACATGGAATTGAATAAAGGGAAGGACCCGGTCTGATTCCCCACATGGGTACAATGTGTGAAGCCCATTTCTGGTGTCCCCTGCCGTGATATTGCTGGAATATTGCTAAAAGCAGGGTAAAACTAAACTCACTCACATAAGAAATATTTATCAAATCCAGAGTCAGATGCTCAATTCCGACTATATTTTGAGCATATGTTTATGAAAATCAATCAAACACCAGCATGAATAGGCAGAAACACATGCCAAGGTCAGTCAGGCCTACATCTTCACCTAACCCGTGAAGATCCGGGTTAGAATTGGTCTTCAGCAACCCATACTTGTTGTAAAAGGTGACTAAGGGGATGGGGTGGTCAGACTCTCTGACTTGGTTGACACATGTCATCATATCCCAATTGCGTAGATCGATGCTCATGCTGTTGATCACTGGACTGTCTGGTCTAGACTTGATTATTTACAGACCGCCGCCATATAGCTGGAATATTGCTGAGTGTGGCGTTAAACAACAAACCAACCAACATCATTACCTTAGTACAGGTCTATCACTCACCAACTCACCCACCCACTTGCTAATCAACACAATTATAACGTTTCAGTAAGTATTGTTTTCTGCTGCTATATTGAGCATAAGCACAAATCTGGACAATAAGAAAGGAATCAAACCCAGGCCCATGTTGAGATGAAACAACGCTATAACCACTAGACTACCTGACTGCACTCTGCATTTCTGGACATTTCTATTTCTGAAAGTCTGGTCTCTTAATGTCAACAGAAACTACTGTATTCAACACTCAGTTTGCCAATCAAATTTATAAAAATAATCTCTGTGGGTAAATATTGTTTTGTATAGGACCCATGAAATATGTCAGAATGCATCTCTGTTAGGGTAATATCAGTCTATGACATTATTCAGGAAGATGTTTTATCAAATGTGTCGGGAAAACAATATCATTGGTTCATTTATGATGGGATATGCAAATCTCAAACCGAATCAATTTGTCTTCACAAAACCTAAAGAACAGTTTTACAGTTATTTAAGGCGTGTGAGTTGGCTGACAAACATCCATGGCTACATCCTACAGTCCTTCAATCAGGTTTAATCTCATAAACAGGGAAGCTTTATTGTCCTCGAGATATAGTGCGCCGTGGTAGTTACAACTTCTATATATATCGTAACATGAGGATGTTTCTCTCTCAAAATTTATTTGGCATGTGGAATGATGTGTAATCGAATGGCAAATGTTTTATTTTTATTTTCTTGGATAGAACTGACAACATTGCCAGTACCTGTGAACCACTAAGGCTACAATGCCACTGATTAACTGCAAGGTTTTTTTAAGACTCTCTATTTCAAGTGCCAGCAAGAGATATTTTATGCCTTTTTCCTGTGGTTCATGGAAAGTTTGTTTGAAACAAACATATTTACAATTGTTTTAATTTTCTTTATAGATAATTAAAGTTTGATAAAACACTCCTCTCATTTTTTTCTGAGATTTAAAGCCTAGGACGGAACCTTGGTGTTGATGCCTCTCAGTTTTCAGAAATCTCATGACACCCTGAAGACTGACGTGTACACTGGCTCGTCAATCTGTCATATTATGCAAAATTAAATATAGTATATGGAACAAAATGGGTGGAACGTCTTTAATGAGTATACACAGTATCAAATTTCATCCGTTTTTCATTTGTATTCTCATCGTGACCTTACACAGTGACATTTTCAGTTTCAGTTCTTTCGGTGTTTTGTTCATTATTAATGTTTATTTAATATATGTAGGAGACAATAGTAGGTACTTCTTTTTGTGGTAGAGCTTTTTCAGTATCTTTGCACTGGGAAACTGAATACAGTGGAATCATTGTTATCATCTTTATGGTTTTTAGCAGATGTATCAGATTACATGTGAAGGAAGTTTCAATAAAGATTCCTCGATAGTTCCTCAATTTCTAATTTTAGCAGTTATATGTTAATTATAAGCTGCAGGACTGGCACTGTCAAACAGTAAAAATTTGATAACATTTTCTATCCCATACTTTAAAACTTTTATACAGTTCACTATTTTGCCACATGTTACCAAAAGTCAGTTATCACTTTTTTAGTTGGATATTTCACAATGTACTGATGAAAAATCAGTTCTCTAATTTTACTGTCATATTCTTCTAAGAAGTATCAACCAATCAATTCTTAATGTCTTATTTAATCAGCTTTAATAGAGCAATACAATATTGCAAAATTTGTATGGAAAATTGTGTGATGTTGTCTTGTCAAATGTTCTATTACAAGAAACGTTTCAAAATTGACCTGTGCTCAAAGTCGAAGATCAAAAGCCATACAATTACTGCCAATCAAGTAATTAAAATGTCTTCTGCATGGCATAAATTATAAACATCAAATAAAACCCCATTCCACCTTTCTAGCATTCAGAAGCATTAGTGAAGCATGAGCCTAAGTCACCATGCGGAGTTGCCTCCCCTAGTTAGGTAGAATCTACATGTCATGGTAGGCGTCAAATACAAAATTCACACTGATTACCAGTAAGTCTTAGCCTTAACTGGTTTTCAGCATTAACACTTGTTAAGAATGCCTCCGTGGTGTAGTGGTGTGTCCCAGAGAGTGGAAGGTTGCGGTATCAATCTCTGGCCGCATCCATA